GAATTCAGCACAAATAATAAAGAAAACAGAAATATCACTGTGACACAAGGAGGAATCTACATATGTGAAGGAGTGAAAGGAAATCACTCATTCTACAGACAACGAAGCCGTGATGCCACCATTGAAATTATATGTAAATTTTTCTCTTAAAAACTGTTTGAAACTAAATCTGAGAAATTACATTTTCTAATGGGGTTTAATGTTTCTGTCCACATCTGATGTAAACAGTTTCCAACAAGGTTGTTGTGACTCAACAACCAAACTGGCCTCAGATCTTCAGTGGTGAGACGATCACTCTGACATGTGAGGTCCAGGGAGGAGAAACCACTGAGTGGACGTGTGAATGGAGAAGGCCTGGGTTTGTGCTATATAGGACAAATAGTAAAGACTGGATTTTCAATGTCTCTGAGTCCAGCAGTGGAGACTACATGTGTCGGTGTAGAAGCAGAGATGACTGGTTTTCTTCAACGCAGTGGAGTGAAGCCTTCACTCTGTCTGTATCAGGTGAGTTGTGATTTGTTGCTTGTTCTGAACAGATTGCAGGAAAAAACTTGTCCTCATATTTTGGATTAAGTTACGTTTCTTCTTTGGACAGACGAGAACAGTCTTCATGTAGCAATCTGCTTCGTCTTCAATCTGAGATTAGAGTTTTTACCCTTTAAACATGATAAAATTTTGATTTTTTTCCCCCCACATTTGACAGGAAGCTATAATAAAACCACAAACTATATAATTTATGCTGCTATGTGCAAATTGTCTCAAAGATTTATTTTAATGTATCTGAAGAATAAATCAGAAAGCTCTCATGTGTAGTAAAATAACTCCTAAAAGTACTTTCTTTCCCCAAAGCGTTACAGATGGGTAACTTAAGTAACCTGATGTTACATGTATTTATCGTAACAGGTTCTGAAGCTTTGCTGAGTATTTCCATCCTGTCCTTTACTCTGCTGTTTATCTTTGACCTGATTTGCGGAATGTTCCTGATGCTTCTGCTACTGATGTGCTGCTGCAGGAAAAAAATGAGTGAGACAATTTCTTTTTGATAGTTAATTATTATTAATTAAATGCATGCAGATACATTGCAAATGATAATCACAAATTAATCGTTTTCTCCTCTTTCCCCTCCACAGATCTTTCATGTAAAAGGTAAGTTCATTTTTTCCTTCTTATTAAAATAACAATGAATCGTGTTTAATAAGTTCCCATCATGCTTCAGTGTCCCTCAGTCACAGAACAGCAGTCAAGGCTCCGCTGGACAAACACACAAACAAAATGAATCTCAGGTTTACTCCTCCCTGCTTCATGGTCAGTCTTTATGATAAAAAAATAAATAAATAAATAAATATTACCCTTTTTTGAATGAGATTACATTATTTATTGTGTGTTGTCACTGATCTGTAGGTGATGTTTCTGTCTACGAGTCGATCAGAGTCTCTGGAAACAGGTGAACCTTACAGTACAAACCTGAAATACTAATAATGACAGGGAGATATTTTACTGTGACTGTTGTTCTGAATCAATATACTACTGTCATTTCAGATGGACCAGCCAGTGACTACATGCCTGTTGGCTCCAATTAGAGCAATGAGTACAGAAAGGATAAAGAAATTAAGTAAACGTCATTTCAACTTGGTATTTTAGTTGTTTATAAGAGACTGTGTTCATTATTAATGAGACATATACGAAAAAAAAACTACAACTAAAATTGAATAAATGTGAATAAAAAGCACATTTATTCAATGCTATTAAAAACATCCCTTTTACATCATATTGTGTTAGGTTAGAAAAGTGATTTTATTTTTCATTTTGCAACGAAATGTATCAAATATGGTGTGGATGAACTTTTTCACCATTGGTTATGAGGGGCCGTTTAGGACAAAAACTATGCTTTGTCTCTCACACGCTACTAACGCTACACGCTACCGACTCTAGCTAACTCTCCGGCGTTAGCTCCGCTCCCCCCTCAAGCACTCGGAGGTTCACTTAGGCTCTAAGTAAGTGACCCGGAGTAAGCGGCGTTAGAGCCCTAAGTGAACCTCCGAGCGCTTGAGGAGGGAGCGGTAGAGAACGACTGGCCATAAATCGGATCAACCTTCAGCTAAACGCCGCTCACACCGTGGAGCTCCAACATCCAACTTGAAGCTAACTTCGCTGAGTATCAACGCATGCGCAATCAGTTCTCCAAATTATGCCCCGCCTCTTCCGTGACAACTCTCACACATACAAAAAAATGTCTTTCACCGGAAAATACAAATCTCATCCCCATTCATTCATTCATTCATTCAGCCTAGTGTTAGTTCACACACACACATACATTACCTATTATTCAGATTAGTATGTCTGTATGCTTTGTGTGTGTGTGTGTGTGTGTGTGTGTGTGTATGAGTCTTTAGTAGTGTGTGAGAAACAGAGTTTTTGTCCTAGACGGCCCCTCATAATTGGTCTCAAAATGCAAATTAGAAAATGTTTGTTAAATGTATCTTATAAATATAAATGTGTCTTTCTGTTCATTTTCTTTGTGTTGTTTAAAAAAACAATCCTAAATCAGCAACTAATTCAAGAGTTACTGCGAACACTTTTTTTATTTTATATACTGATCATGTCTCCATACCTCAAAGGAAAATACTGATTTGATTCAAAATTGGTTAAAACGTTCATCATTTTTTAATAATAAAATGCTAGAAATAAGTAGCTTTCTTCCTCTCATTAGTTTTCTAAAACTATATTATAGTACTTTTATTTCAATGGTTGTAATTCTGAATGACTGTGTTTTAAAAAGCAAAAATAACCAATTGCTGCATAAAGTGAATGAACTTTCACACAGCAGTCTGTATTTACATTTATTCTGTTGCCATCTCTAATTGTGCAATAAAGATCTAAATATTTGCTCATTATGTTGTCATAATTTAACTGCAGATATCTCAGATAACAACATTAACAAGTAAATTTCTATTTATTGAAAATGTAGATGTTTGTGTGGTTATCATTTCAGGTGTTTCATCAGCCAAACAGGATCAGTGACTAGAACCACCATGTTTGTTCTCACTTATGACGTCAATGTTAAAATATATATATATTTATTTATCTTTCCTGTTTGTGGTAGACATTTTTATTGTAAATGCTGTGATGAAAGTCGTCACAAAGCCATTTATATAAATGGCAAACAGGTTCAATTATTACAGTGTAATAAATGATCATCAATTCTACATTTTGCTTAAAGAGATAATAGATGACCTAAAAGTAATTTAAAAAAAATTTAAAAAAGCTAAGTGCTTGAATGAAAGCAGTTTTTATTTAATTTTATTTTTCTAGGTTTTAAGTATCAGTAAATAACAAAATATGTCCATAGCTTTTATTTTTAACTTCAAGAAATTCAACCTCAGTTTATAAAGAGTTTTACTGGCTTCTTCCAGCTGTGAAGATATAAGATTAGCGTAAAATGACCAAATAAGTCCCAAAGAAAGACGCACAAAGTAACTTTAGAACATTATTCCACAATGAGAGATATTATTTGCAGTTTGAAATCTGCAACTATTTTCCCCTCAGATTGGAGTAAAAGAAAACAAACATCAGTGCATTTCTGACATTATTA